GTGGCGAGGAGCGCTTTCCTTCAGCTTCGGCTGATCCATCAGCTGCGCCCCTACCTGGAGTACAACTGCCTGGCAACAGTGACACATGTGTTGGTGACTTCCCACCTTGACTTCTGTAATGCGCTCTATGTGGGGCTACCCTTGAAGAAGGTCCGGATACTTCAATTGGTTCAAAATAGAGCTGCCAGGCTACTGACGGGGACTGGGCGTTATGTTCACATGACTCCAGTCCTCCGTCAGCTTCACTGGCTTCCCATTGAAGTCCGGGCCCAATATAAGGTGTTGGTGATGACCTATAAAGCCCTAAACAGCTTGGGTAATGGCTACCTGAAGGAGTGCTTACGTCCATATATGCCCGCCCGCCCGCCCCCTGAGATCTGCGGGAGAGGCCCTTCTCCGGGAACCCTCCGTGAAGGAAATTAGGAGGGTAGGTACTCGGAGGAGGGCTTTCTCTGGTGGTGCCCGATCTATGGAATGCGCTCCCCAGAGAGGTCTGCCTGGCGCCGTCGTTATTTGTTTTTCGGCGCCAGGCGAAGACCTTTTTATTCAAACGTCATTTTAACTGTTACTACTATTTATTTATTTTATTCTTTGGCCAGGGTGACTTATTTTATATTGTTAACTTGTTTTATATTTTTATTGTATAATATTTTAATTGATATATTTGTGAACCGCCCCGAGGCTTCGGTGAATGGGGCGGCATAGAAATTTTCTAAATAAATAAATAAATAAATAAAAAATCTACATGCTTTCTATAATATACCTGCTCCATCTGAAAATAATAGATTACTAGAGTTCAGTATAAAGCAGATTCCTTTGCTCCTAAGCAGGGCTTTTTTTGTCATAGAACGCACCGGAACCGTGTGTTCCGGCACCTTTTTTTCCAATGGATTTTACGAAGTGATTTAATCGTAGCAGATCAGCAGCAAACATCATTAACATAGTGCCTGCAGGCTGCTTTTGTGTCTGCTATCTGATAGTGAGATAGTGAGGGTGCTGCTCTCTGCTTGGGATACTGCTCCGCTGCTCGGCTTGGGATTGGGGCTTGGGATTGGTGTGTGTGGTCATGCGCTTGCTGCCCGCGACATGAGTTCCGGCACCTTTTTTTTTTTTTTACAAAAAAAGCACTGCTCCTAAGAAACCCTTTCTGAACATGGTGGTGGTAGATGTAAATCTTTCTTTCAAAATAAATTGACATGTAGAAAATACAGACTATGATAATTAACACTTGGCATTCTCGAAACATTGTAGTATGATAACCAAAACAGTTTTACCATGGTGAGTTGCTTAACATATGTAGTATGGTTTGGAGTGCATGTTCCAGAGGAAAAATGTATTGGTTGTACTGTACATACATGTGTATTATAATGCACTATATCCCTTGCCCAGTGGCCTATCTTGATTTAAAATTTTAAGAAATATTTTTGATTTGTAGTTGATCAGTAATATCTGTGCCTAATCCATTGTGTGGTAAACCATTAGACATTCTTAACTTTAAAAAACCCCGTTGCAGTCAGTTTTACTAACAGTGTTTTTCAGTAGCCTACAACCGTTCTGCAGCTATCTCAGTGTGGAATCCTTGAAGTGAGAATAGGAGTAACCATCATACACAAGCAAAGTGTTCTTGTTGCCATCTGTGAAATGTTGGAGGATGTCTGATTTTAACTCTGCCTTTCATATTGTATCCATATGATTATCTTGGGGCTTCATAATATACATCCTGCATTTTGTGCAATGTGGCAGAACGACTGCTGTACCACGGAATTCTTTAATCTTATCAAACTTGTCAGATCAGCTCTATTCAGTTACAGTTATCATTACTAATGATGATAATTTAAATGAGGATTTATTATAATATAATTTATGAGGATAATGAGGATTTAAATTGGTCAACTCAGTCTAATATTTGTGGATTGTTCATTGTAGTGTCACCATAACTAAGTGTTTATTATTGCTCAACATCTTATATAGGAAGAAACAAGAAAATGGTATATAGGAAGAGGAGATATGGGATGGGTTTGACCATAATGACAACCAGTCATGTAGATTTACCACGGTTGGTTAGTGCAATCTACCAAGCTGCATAATGACCCCTACAGACAATTGGGTTCATCCTTCTCCTCCCTTGTACCTCTTGGTGGTATTCCAAGGGATGTTGTGGGAGCAACAAGTCCCCTCAGAGTGCCCATTGCTCACTCGGTGGGACTACCTGTGCTGCCCACAATTTTTTGTATTGCTTTGTGCCTTCACATGGGTGCATTTTTTCACTGCACTGACTTTCAGCTCACAGGAGTGGAATGGGGCAATGGAGCCAGGATTGGGTGGCTGACTTCAAGTTCACCAACCCAGTCTTTCCCCTGTGCTGCCAGGATCACCTGGGCCTCTCGCGACAGAGATGGATCCAGAGACCCCCATTCTACACACCTGTTCCCTTAGAAGGCATGCAGTACCATCCAGAACAGGCAAACAGCCATACTTGGTTCTGCCAAGCCACACATTCATCTTCAGTGTATTAACTCTCATCCAAGCCACAACTTTATTCTGGCAGTGGTTTAGAATGTGCATTGCCAGCCCCAGTTCAGGTGTCACGAAGAAAGGGAGCTGGATGGTCTCAGTGTACTGATGGCAGCTTGCCCCAAATCTTCTGATAACTGCTCTCCATTGCTTCATACAGATATTAAATAACACTGGGGACAAGATAGTCACCTGTGGTACCCCACAGTTCAGCTGCTGTGGGACCAAGGTACAAGACTACACTTTGAGCCAACTCCATAGATTTAAGCTGAACCACTGTAGAATAAAGCCTCTAATTCTACAGAGGCACTGTGGGAGGATATCATGGTTAATGGTAGAGTTGCAACAAACTTACCTGGAGTCTTCAGTTTTCCAAGCCTGGACCTGAAGCCATGTAATCAGTTTCATTCAAGAGCAATTGCACCTCAGATACTACTGTTCTCTTGAGCACCTTACTCAGGAATAGGCTGTTTGTGATTGGATGATAGTTGGCATAAATTTCTGTCTAGGGAGAGGGTTTTCAGAAGTGGTTGTGCCACTGCCTCCTTTCAGACAGTAGGAACCACACTATCATGCACAAAGTGTTTACCGCTTTGGTCCATCCAGTCTTCTGTGCCTAGCTTGAATAAGTGATAATGGGCCAAAGTCAAGAAAGCATGTGGTGAGCCATGGAGCTGCAAGCACCTTGTCCACATTCTCTCTTTCCACAAGCTGAAATTGATCTTACTGAAAGAGAATAAGAGATACACAGGACACCTCAACAGACACTGTGTCAAAATGCTCCTCAAAGTATCTTGAAACTCATCACAACAGACCTCTGGGTTCACTCAGTTAGATGAAAGCAACCCCAAACCACTTGAGAAACTCAAGTGGATGGCTATTTGAAGATGCAACAGAGTCAGCAAAGTGAACCTTCTTTTCTTCCTTCATTGCCATACCATACAGTAGGACCAATTGTACACTTCATGATGTGTTTTTAGACCATTTACATTCCAGACGTCTTCTGAAGTCTTTCATGGTCTGAAGGTTCCCAGTAAACCAGAGAGCGCCACAATGCCAAAGAGGACACTCAAGGGTGGTTGCATCTGTGGGCCACCACACCACACATAGTGCAATAAGAGCCTCAACAGATTCTGGCTATTGAAAAATCTCTTGAGAACTTCAGGATTCCCTTGATTTCTTTACATCTCCAGGAGTGGACCATTTTAATTGGTCTCCCACCCCTGCAGGGAGGGACTGGCACCAGGAGACCAAATTTTACCAAGAAGTGATCTGAACATGACAATGGGATGATTTCAAATCCCCCCGCCATTTCCAGACCACCATCCTCTTTCCTAGACTTAAGACCAAATCAAGGTTATGCTGTGCTCTACATGCTGGGCTGGTCACACACTGAGACAGCCTCATGGTTATCATAGAGGACCTGAAGTCCTGAACTGTTCCTGTTAAAGTGCTCTCAGCATGAATGTTAAAGTTTCCCAGTATCAGAATCCCCAAGACCACCTCAGCCTGCTTGATCAGGGAGTCTGTTGGGTAGCAGAGTGAGCAGTACATCAATGGCTTTTCATCTGTCCCTTTCAGCTTCAAGCAAGGTGCAGGCCCTCATGGTCTATCCCAGAGTGCTGGGGCTTCCTACCAAGTAAGATCATGGTGACTCCCTCCCCCCAGCCCTCCAGCCTGGATGGTGCTGCAGTGAATAACCAAGTGGGTACAGCTGGATCATGTCTAAATGACACAGCTTACCCACACAGGTCTCTGTGAAGCATACCAGGTCAGCTTCCTCATCCATATTCACATCATGAATCCTTAAGGTCTTGTGAACTGATCTGGCATTCCCTCCCATGTCATCAAGAACCTAAGATTACATGTAAGATACTTACATCTGCATAAAAGTAAACTTGATTCAACTGGACCAGAGGATGGTGTGCTATGATAGGATACTATATACAATCCCACCTGCTTATCTTTGTATTCAGTGACCATAGATTTGTTCATGATTTCAGCAGTGTTCACAACTGCAAGAGGGTTTAATTCTGTCTTGCTTCAAATTCTGCTTCTTTGATTGTCTGGAAAACTATCTGTCATTTCTCAAAGATGTGTAAAGTGCTTTTCCAATTGTTTAAAACTGGGGGAAATTTCAAGCCAATCTGAGTATAACATTAATTTACACAAAGTTGATGTGTAAATTTCACTTAATATTAGTGGAAGGGACTGTGTTTATGTGTTTTGTATACACCCAGGCTTTCAGCATTGGGCACATTTCCCTAAACAATAAATTCATTTAAAAAATTATTTATTTAAAACTGTTTTAGAACATACCTTACTGTAGTCTCAGGATGGTTTAACAGCAAGACAAAAAATAAAACACTGGATCCTGTCTCTGGGCTGTTACTATCATAATTAAAATATGGTCTTTGCACATAATTAGCAATGGATTTTTCCCAAAATATTTGGTCAAACCTTTATATGTGTTGGTCTCTTGTTAGGACTGTGAGAACATGGGATGTTAACAATGACAAAAAACACAAAGGTGTGTTTAAACCACGCTCAGCTCAAGGGAAACGTGTGATTCCAACGAGCTGCACATACAGCAGAGATGGGAAGCTCATTGCAGCTGGCTGCCAGGATGGGTCCATCCAGATCTGGGACAGGAATATAAATGTAAGTAGTCCACTGTTCATTGATCAACTGAAAATGTGAAATCCTGTGTTTGTAGTCTGATAAATCAGGGTTAATGCCCAGTTGGCCAGATTTCATGGTGAAATGAATACTGTTCACTGAATGTGTTTGAGAAATCCAGAATGTTAATGTAGGGTGAGAGCATATCCACCGCAAACAAAAGGTGGCAACAAAGATGAGAATTTATGGTCTTGCTAATTTATATCATGCAACATTAATGTGGAGTCCCTTCCTTCCAAGTCTGTGAACATTTAACGCTGTTCTGCCTGTGCAAATTAAGTTCACCACTATTATACCCAGATTATAGAAGGGTGGTGCTGTGACTAAGCCCATTGTTGTTAAACCCATATTGCTATGAGGGGGCAGGAGGAAGACACTAAGGTATGGCGACTGTGCATTTAGTCAATGTTGTTATCCAGTCTCTTGGAAAACGATATTTTTGGAAATGGACTCAGAATGCTGGTAGGGTGGGGTAGGAGCACTGTGTTAGAAACTCTCTTGTGTGTACCTTTATGTGGATCTGTTGACACAGGTAACCCTTCATGCATCTGATGAAGCAGGCACTAGTCCACAAAAGTTTATGCCTAAACAAGACCATCAATCTTTATCAAAGTACCAGCAGTCTCTGCTTTGCTTTGTTTTGTTTTAGAACATCAGGCTTATGCTAGTGTGGCATAGTTGTTAGTGTTGGACTGGGACTCAGGAGGCTGTTGGGTCTACTTGGAAGTACACTGGGTGACTTTGGGCCAGTCATGGACTCTCAGGCTAACCTACCTCACAGGGCTGTTCTTGTGAGGATGGCATGGAGAGAAGGAGAATCTTGTAAGCTTCCTTGAGTCCTTTGCAAGAAGAAAGGCAGGGTATACATTCAATGTAATGCACCACTCTTCTGGAATTTGCATGGCAGAAGTAGGGATTCTATCTTAAACTCTTCAGCTGAAGCAGACTGAAGCTCCTACATTTCCTTGTGATACTGTGAACTTTCTCCACCAGGATAGCAAAAGACCGCTGGATGAAAACGTATTTAGAATTCAATCCCACAAGAACAGATAGAGAGCGGGTCATCAGGAAGCAAATAGGAATAGCTGCAGAGTGATCATCAGGTGATGTTCTGTCTGCAGCAGCTGGTTTATACCAAATGTACTTGAGGCTAAAATGTCACCAAAATTCCATGGGTCTCCTCACTTGTTTTTAAATGCCTTTAAGAGTGTGTATGCACTTGCAGTGCCGTTTAAAAAATCACAGGAGTTCATAAGGAAAAACTCATGAATAAGCAGACTATTAGGAGTGCTATTATTAATGCCATGCTAGGAACCTTAATATTTGAATGCTGTCTGCATTTACATCAACAGCCATGTAGGTGATAAAAGCCAGCCTCTGAAAAAAATACTCTGTTGGAGCAAGTTTACATGTTGAATAACTTTTGAAACCTTCCATGCCATTAGGAAGTTTTACTAGATTTATAGTGGAAATAACTATGGAGATAAAAAGCTGAAAAAATTAATTGGGTTGGAGCTGGACTAACACCATTGTGGACTTGTGGCTGGAACTTTAGATCAATGGGACTTTCCTCAATTCAGATGTGACCTCCTTGTTTTGAACAGTATGAACAGTTCATCCAACTTAGGAGTACAGCGCTTCAGGGGGGTCACTATGCATGCTTGCTTCTGAAAAAGACAGACAGAAGGAGGTTGTATGCTTGCTTAATTTTCTGAACTGAAAGGATCTTCACAACTACTAAATGAACAGTACTAGTTGTGGAATCTCATACTGTGTTTCCCCGAAAATAAGATTGGGTCTTATATTAATTTTTGCTCCAAAAGATGCATTGTTGTTACTAGTTGCAAAGTCGTGTCTGACCCATCACAACCCCATGGACAACATTCCTCCAGGCCTTCCTGTTCTCCACCATCCTCTGGAGTCCACTTAAGCTCACGCCAACTGCTTCAGTGACTCCATCTAGCCACCTCATCCTCTGCCGTCCCCTTTTTCTTTTGCCGTCTGTTGTTCCCAGCATCAGGCTCTTCTCCAGGGAGTCCTTCCTTCTCATTAGGTGCCCAAAGTATTTGAGTTTCATTTTCAGTATCTGGCCTTCTAAAGAGCAGTCAGGGTTGATCTCCTCTAGGACTGACTGAAAAGATGCATTAGGGCTTATTTTCAGGTGATGTCTTATTTTTTCTTAAGAAAGCCGTAAAATTCTTGCCCCAAGTGTCTCCACGATTTTTTCCCTTTACTCGATGGAATAGCTCTTTCTTTTTGCACTTGTCTTTAAATCTACCATTAAATCAAGTGTTAATTGAAGACTTATGAGACAGGAGTGGCAACACACATTAGGTACATCTGTTACAACACACGTATTGAATTATGAAACACATCCATTCGTTATCAAGTGCGCACGTTATTCGTGTCTTGTGCCTGATTGGTCATTTGGCAATAAGTCTCAAGTTTACATAGGCACTTACCTCTTGTCCAAAGGTGCCTGCTTGGGTATTTACAAATACTTCATTATATTGTATATTATTTATTTTAAGTATTAATGTCAATAATATTTATTTATATTTAATTATATATTATTATTTATAATTCAATATGTCCATTGCGTGTTGCCTCAGATATACTAAAAGCGTCCATCTGACTGATGATCTTAATGGGGGCTTATTTTTGGGGTAGGGCTTATATTACAAGCATCCTGAAAAATCATGGTAGGGCTTATTTTCCAGTTATTTTCAGGAAAATACGATATCAACCTGCAGCTGGACTGTGGAAAGAATACCTTTGGTACTAGTGAGAGGGAGGGAAAATGTACATGCTAAAGAATTAGGAGCTGTATGTTTATTTACTTATTTAAAACTAAAGAATAAGCCTGAGGGTTGGAAAAGTCCCCAAGGCATGGCCCTTTCCAATGGTGCACCCCGTAACACCCTGCTGGTGGTATCTCAGGCATACCTCCTATTTTATTACTATAGATATAACTTTCATATCATTAAAAATTTAAGCAGCTAAACATAATAGAATACGATTACATTTTAGGTGGTTTATTTGCTGTGTTTCAAAAATCACCTTTCAGGGTATTTCTGTGTGGCAACTTAAAACAACAGAAAAGAAAGTTTTTAAAAACTCCAAACTCTAGCATTGGAATGACCTAGAATTCAGTCTGAAAGGGGAAGGGGGGAAAGGAGGGGCTCAAAAAACCATCTGCAAGTGAGGAGGAGGTCTCGTTGCTGGCTTAGTATCCTGCCACATCCCTAGGGCTTGAGGCAGGTAACACCTTTAAAACTCTGCCTGTCTATCAAAATAAGTGGAAGTGTGTGTGGTGGGGGAGAGACTATTATTTACTTCTGTTACAAAGCTTCAGTGTAACAGAAAGGAGTACATGGCTTGGAGGTGGGGGCACCACGTAGTCATACTGCCTTCCTCATTGCTCCATTTTCCCTTGATGCCTGGCCTGTCCATCTGGAAGAAATTCAAGACTTCCTTGAATTTTAATAAAGGAAGAATAATATGATGTTGTCAAAAGGAGATAACAAAAGCTAAGCAGGCTTATATGTGCCTCTCTTCAGAGAATAATGCCTCTAGGTAAAACTTCCTTTTGATATTTCGCATGCAAGTTTTCCAACATGTAACAAAACCTTCATGAATGTCTGGTGTACGGAAGGAACACATTTACACTTACTTGTAATTTATGAAGGCAGGCAATATAGCAGAATAATAAACTGCAACTGAAAAAAAATCAAACACTGTCCCAACAGACTTAGCATTTTTATGTTTATTGGGTCATTATAGCTTTTGGAAACTTTGTTCTCTTTGCTGCTTTCCTTCAGCTCATTTTCTGTACCCATGCATAATAGAATGCATATTATTTATTTTTGATATTTTCCTAAATTCTGTGTTTGACTTAGGAGTGAAAATTTGGTTTGGAAAGTTACTTTTCACAACACACACACTATTTTTCATTATATTATATACCATTTCTCTTCTAAACATATTCCAGAGTGATGAGCAATACAATATAAAAAGGATAAAATGGAAGATTAAATGATTTTAGTAATAAAAAACATGCCTTGTTAATCAAGAAAATTATATTGTGGAATGAAGAAAGTCCAGGGAAGGAGAGTGGATTTTTATGTGTGTGGAAGGAGTATGAACTGTGTTCAGTTCTAATACTCAGAACTAATGCTTGAGCTCAGAATTGTTTGATTCTACGTAAGATCTGGCTGTGGTGCAAGTTTTGAATATTAAAGTCAGGGCTGTGGGTTGTTCTGTCATCCAAACCCAACAAGGAAGGGTTGGATGAGAAATATCTGACAACTGGGATATCTCATTGCATTAACATGCATGAAGTTCAGTGCATGTCTACTCAGATGTAAGATGGGGCTTCTTGCACTTTTGGTTCAATTGATAGATTAAGAAACGGAGGATAACAAAAGCCAAAATTAGAGGTAGAGTTATATCCTTTTGCTGACTTTTCAAAGGTTGGCCATCATATCCATAATATTTATTTCTCTACAGTCTGAACTTAATAACTGGAAATGTTATACTGTGGAGAAAGTCCTTTTTTACCAAATTGGTTTATCAGTTGGTTTTTGAAAGATAGGATAAGTGTCATAGGTTGGATTTTTATTGAATATAGGAATTTGTTTGGAAAGTTTTTAGAAGTGTTTTCCTCTATGTGCTTTCTTTTTAAATAGATGTTTTCCTTGTGTCATATTTGTGGCTGGATAATGTACTTTGTATCTCTAATTAACAACTCTTATTTGAGGTGCACATTTTCCTGTAAATTAACAAAATGTTTAACTGTTGGTTGCAAATTATGAGTGAAATGAGTAAAATCACTCTTTTGCCTTTCTTCACATGGCAAACTGTTTCATGTGATCCTTTGAAGAGTACCTAGCTACATCTGGAAATTTCTTGAGTAAATATAAGATGAAAGGCATCCAAATAGACAGTATATTTTCCTTGTGAGCTCAAGGTAAAGTTTCCAT